ATAGATAGATAGATCGATCGATCGATCGATAGATCGATCGATAGATTGATAGATAGATAGGTAGGTAGGTAGGTAGATAGATAGATAGATAGATAGATAGATAGATAGATTGATAGATAGATAGATAGATAGATAGATAGGTAGATGCACTTAACCTTTAATTGCATTAACTAACTGCAAGTACAGCAAAGTTTAACAGTGAAGGTTTCATCCAATCACAGCTCTGAACCCACAGACACCTCTTTGTCTTTGTGTGATTAACAGGATGCGAGAGGTCGACTTGGGAACTGGCCGAGCTTTGTTGATCAAAGAACATGGGGAGTTCTCCGCCATGGGACATAAGTGTCCACACTACGGAGCGCCCCTCGTCAAAGGTGAGTGATGTCTTCTGATTTTGACATTGTTAATATACTGTCATACATTTGATTGACTCGTCATTTCCTGTCCTGTAAGGAGTGTTGTCGAAGGGACACGTGCGCTGTCCCTGGCACGGTGCATGTTTCAACATTGCAACAGGGGACATCGAGGAGTTCCCTGGACTGGACAGCCTGCCCACCTTCCAGGTGACCTTTCCCCGCTGGTGTTGTAACTGAACACATACCCCACCTTTTTATGTCCCTAAGCACCGTGTGAAAAAGCGTACACATCGCTCATTGTTGTTTGCTCCAGGTCAGAGTTGAAAAGGACAAGGTGATCATTCGTGCAAACAAGCAGGTAACAAGACAAGGAATGTGGAGATTTTCTTTTGCCTGGAAATAAACGTAGCACCTGATTGACCTGAAATATTTCTCCAAACATTTCCAGGCTCTTCAGTCACAGAGGAGGTCGAAGCCCATGTCTCGATGTTCAGCAGTCATCAACTCCAGCACTGGCTTCAGCCACGTCCTCATCATTGGCTCAGGTGTTTTTGTCCCTCTTCATTTATACATCTGTCTGTTTACTATCTCACAGTTGAGCCTTAACTTCAGGATTGCCTCAAATAACTCTTTCCTTGTCTGCAGGTCCGGCAGGTCTGGTGTGTGCAGAGACACTGAGGCAAGAGGGCTTCACCGACCGTATCGTCATGTGCACCATGGACAGACATCCTCCCTATGACAGGACTAAACTGAGTAAGGTTTGTACACAGACCCCGACCACTTACAAGCTGAGACAGAAGTGACTCTGCCAACAAAGTTACGTAACAGACTGCGGAGGAGCTGCTTCGGTCAGTAGTGCTGAAACCAGAGCTCTTTGGGGAACAGCTTACAGCAGCAGAGCTTTGAAGAAATGTGGAAGAAAACAAACATTAGTGATTAAAAAAAAAAGACTTATGGGATATGGCTTGACAAACAAAATAGGTTTTCATTTATTTCACATCAACCATTATTGACTGACTCCTTTGTCGTCTTCATGTCGATGACAGTTAAGTATCATGTAGGTTGTTGTTGGACGCCGTTCAGATCTTAAGGCCGCAATCATAAAATAAGACTGCTACCATGTTTTTGTTGGACCACAAGTTGAACAGGGAATATCTGACAACAACCACAAGGTCCAGTCATTGTCTCCTCTGGAGCTTTTAAACTTATCGTTTAAGGAACTATAGGACTCTTCGTCCATGTGTGCTTATTGGAGGCATATAATGCTTTTTCCCCATTCCTCCATTGTGTATTTAGCTCTCTTGTGTATGTACAGTTGCATGACAATCATAGCACCTAGCCTGGCACGGCCCATGACAAGACCGATATTTCCGACACACGCTGGCAGCTGGCCAATCAGAGCAGACTGGGCTTTATCAGGAGGAGGGCCTTAAAGAGACAGGAGCTAAAACCAAGTGTTTCAGACAGAGGCTGTAAAGAGGAGCTGCAGTGATGTGTTTTCTGAACATTAGAGCATGTAAATTATTTCAGGAACCTAAATCTAAATTATTAACCTAAATATAAGCATTCATGTCTTTTATGAATTGAAAGGGCAAGTTCATGCCTGACACTGGAAATAAACAAAGAAATGACTGATTGATTTGTGTTTTATTTTGAATTGATGCACTCAGCACTAACTTGCAAACCCTTAGTCTCTCGACAGCACAGCAGAGCAGCTGAGATTGCGCTCCATGGACTTTCTGCAGGACCACGACATTGAACTGCTCACAGAGAAGGAGGTGAGAGGTGGACGGATTGATTGTGGTTAATGACATGAGGATGGGTAATGGCCCTTATAGCCTATCAAGTAATTTCATTAAATCAAGATTAATTACAGATTTTATAGTCTATAACATTTGAGCAAAAATCCAACCTGCTAACTAACCTGTTTATTTCAGGCTGTAGCGATTGACGTGAAAACACGATCTGTGACATTTGAAGACGGCCTGAGGATGGAGTACAGGAAACTCTTTATTGCTACAGGAAGCAAGTAAGAACACACTTTTAATTTGCATTACTCAGCATATAAGATTATAACTATATAAAATTACACTTGACCACTTCCACTTCCTACTTGAAAGACCCAGACCAATGAGCTTCAGAGGCAAAGACGTCAGGAACGTTTTTCACCTCAGGACGCCTGATGATGCTAACAGCATAGCGAGGCTGGCCAACAACAAGAATGCCGTGATTGTTGGAACGTCGTTTGTCGGTGAGAAAAAGACACATTTAAACATCTTTTACTTATTGAAGGAAAAAAGTTGTGTTTCCTCACCACAAAATGCCTCGGCAGTAAGTCATTTCTCAAAGTTATCTGGCGTTTCACAAACGTAAAATAATGTTTTGATAATGGTGTTGAAAGCTCTGTCTCACAAGCTTTTCCAAAATCTTTCACAGCTGTGAGGGTTTAGATCTTACCTCAAACATTTAGTCTTTACATTTCTGGTGTTAATTTGGGGATCACTGACTTGCTCAAGGACACTTCGACTTGCAGAAGAGCCGGGAGCTGAACCACCAAATTTTCATTCTTATTAAAGGGATAGTTCACCCAAAAATGAAAATTCACTCATTATCTACTCACCACTATGCTGATGGAGGGGTGGGTGAAGTGAGTCCACAAAACACTTTTGGAGTGTCAGAGTTACAGTGTTACAGCCAAATCCAATACAATTGAAGTAAACAGTGACCACTTATTCAAACGTAACAAGACAACAGAAAAAAACAAAAAATGCTTCTGGACACTCGGTGTCATCCAAGTGTCCAGAAGCCCTGACTTTGTTGTCCATGGAAGCATCTGTATACATTTAGCCTTTTTATTAATTTGTTCAGGTTTTGTCTTTAAGTCCTCACCTGTCTGTGTCTCTTTGCACCATGTACGACATGCATTCATTGTTTTTTGTTGTGTCGGTAGGTATGGAGGTGGCTGCAGCTCTAACTGACAAGGCCCACTCGGTCTCCATCATAGGGATCGAGTCCGTCCCCTTTAAAAAAGCTCTCGGGGAGAAAGTAGGGAAAGCCATAATGAAGGTATGGATGCACTCCTGGGAAATCAAGTTTTATAGCACATGAAGCATCTCCACAATACTCACATCAGCACTCTCCCTGAGAGAGAGATAGAAAACCTACTAGTTAAGATGCAAATCATGTTTCTCTGGTCAATACTGCAGAAGCCACAAAGGGGAGTGTAAATCTTCTCATTAGCAGTGATTGATCATGCAGACATCAGGAAATTCAGCCGTGAATTCTGCCTCTTGGTTTTTTGTATTAATGTGTGCATGGTGTGTTTTGTCGCTGCAGCTGTTCGAGGCAAACAGGGTGAAGTTCTACATGATGAACGAGGTGTCAGAGATGATTGGCCATCATGGACAGGTATTCAGAAAGTGAGAGAAACAGCATGACATGATTCTCGGAAGCACAATCCTCCTCCTGTTCAATATGCAGTGAAGATGAGTCTGATTAGAAACACAAGAAATTAAAGCTGTTGGGGACGTGTGCCAATTTTAAATCCCATGGAAATTTAATCTCCAACCACATTATAATTATTTGGTCAGAAGTCAAAGCTCAAGGTCACTGTGACATTAAAAGACACATTTTTGGCCCTAACTCAAGAATTCCTACACTAATAATGACGACGTTTCACACAAATTTCTTTTATGTACAAAAGGTGAAAGGTCAACTTCACTGTGAAACATAATGTTCTGCATAAACACACACTAACTCAGGAGCAAAAGGGCCTATTGTGGACATATTACACATTTGGTCAGATAAAGAGTTGGTGGCACTAGACTTAAAACCATAGTGAGGGTGTGGATCTTCTGTGCTGCAAGTTGAAAATGTGTATGAAGCATCCATAGCATAGGATTCGCAGCTTCTTTGCAGCAACATCCACATTTGAGGTGTTATGGTTACAACTTCAACCAGAATCAGCTTTATTGACCAACATATTATATATATATATATATATTTAATATATTATTAACATGTGAACACATTCAAGGAATTTGACTCTGAATAAATTTTACACTCTAAGCTCAAAGCTTAAAAGAAAGTCAGTTTTTCTTAAATATTCCTATATCATAAATGAAAAGAAAAATAATTAATACATCTCATTACATTTCTTTTAAGTCATAAATCTTCACTGCATCTTTTTTTGCAAATCTTTTTATTGAAATTTCCAATTTAAACACGTGTTCAAATCACACATCGAATAATTTCACATATGAAAACCCCACACTCCCAGATCGTCTAGATTAGAGCGAAATAACACAGAATCAAAGGACAAAAAGAAGAAAACTGAAGACAGGGCTCCATCTCTGTTTTTCATGTTTCACAGCTGAAAGAGGTGGTGCTGAACAGTGGAAAAGTCCTGCGGGCTGACGTGTGCGTCATTGGAGCAGGTGATGTCGGACATGATCTAAACTCCATCTTCTTTCTGCAGTGACATATAGTTACAGTTTATTTGTGTTGTATATTCAGCTTGACATAATGTATTCGAGTCCTCTCTCTTGCAGGAAGTGTTCCTGCAACGGGCTTCGTGAAACAGAGCGGCCTCAACGTCGACTCAAAGGGCTTCATCACTGTCAACAAGGTGAGTAAGAGAAAAGTGCTCTGTGCAACAAAAGCTGCAAATCAAAAGTGTTTTTATTCCATTTTGCTTTTGTTATTTTTTTTCCCCTTCAGATGATGCAGACGAATGTTGAAGGCGTCTTTGCTGGAGGAGATGTGGTGACGTTTCCTTTCCCGCCACGTAACAACAAGAAGGTGAACATACCTCACTGGCAGATGGCTCACGTACATGGTGAGTGTGTGACAGCTCGATCGATAGCTATTGTGGTGATGGTGTACTACATGCTTAATGACAATATTCTATCATTCTATTATTCTATTTTTTTGTTTCGACCGTGATTGACAGGAAGAGTAGCAGCTCTCTGTATGATGGGCCGAGCCACTGAGATGAAAACTGTGCCTTACTTCTGGTCCGCCATGTTTGGGAAGACCATACGCTATGCAGGTAGGTCTTCAGTGTCAAGACATTTTATCAGCATTATGAGGTTGATGTTCTGTCTTTCCAAACTGTAAAACTAAACACAAGTTCTAATCTGGTGTGAAGCCTGAACTGACTGTTGTCCTTTCTATTGGTCAAGGTTATGGAGATGGATTTGATGATGTCATTATTCAAGGAGATCTGGATGAACTGAGATTTGTAGCTTTCTATACCAGGTAAACTTTTTTACAATTGATTGTTACTTCATCGATTACACCAGAATATTTCAAATAAAGCCACATTTTTTTCAAACTGTATTTGTGAAGTCATTTTAAGAATTTGTTGTGGTTATTGTCTGTTTCTCTTTGTCTCCTCCTGTGCTCCGGCTGTAGGAGTGAGGAGGTGGTTGCTGTTGCCAGCATGAACTATGATCCCATTGTGTCCCGTGTGGCAGAGGTCTTAGGGTCCGGAAAGACGATTAAGAAACGAGATGTGGAGTAAGTCTCCCTCCAAGAATCTGGTCACTTTTACAAAAGCCATTATGTTCTTTAGGTTTTCTCAAGTTTCAACTGTGAAGAAAAAACAAATAAAGTCACTCAGACAGAAAACATGATGATCTGTGGAGCTTGTGACTTGGTCATGCGGAGAGTATTATACAAGCCAAAGGAAGTGACTTATTGTAAAAGAGTCAGAGTCGGCCTGCAAACACTAACAGCAGTTGTTTTCTGCATGGGTGACTAACATGGTAACACTGTTTTCTGGGTTACAAAACATCCTGATCATTTCTATAAAGGTTTCTTG